TTATCATTTAATTTAACAACGAAACATAAGTATTTCATAAAACCTACAAATAAAATATATTATAGAAAACATACGTGAACTGAGCTTGACATAATTAAAAGACATTCTTGTACTACAAATTCTTGGAAAAGCGAAAGTTATTCAACTTTGGGAACAACGCCATCTTGCGGTGGAAATTTGAAAACTCTCGACGCCGTGAAAGGAAAATTCGCGCCCTTTTCGCTGTCAAAATGTCAATGTCTTTATAAAGGGTGTGTTTCATTGCTTGTGAGAAAGTGACACAAGGGGGCGCTGTATTTCGGAAGAAATTCATGAGCTTATTTCTCAGACGAGTTTTTAAGACTAAAATATTGCAAAAGAGTTACAATTCAATCATCCCATCATAAGTATCCCATATCCTATAATAAAGAACATATTAATATATCTAATTAATGTATGGTACTCTTAATGAATCTGTAGACAGGTCAATTCTGTATATGAAATATATTTTCAAAATAACTATCAGGGGGTGATAGGTAAGTGATCGATACTGATGCAAAAAATGCAATCAGTAAAATTTTTGTTTGTCTGTCTGTCTGTATGTTCCTGTTCATGTTGTTTTATAGAAACACAAACGAAACTTGGTACAATTTTTTTTTATACTCCTGGGCAAGTTATAGGATACTATTCATAACGCTACAATAAAAAGGAGCAGAGCAGTGAAGGTAAATGTTGGGAAAACAGGAGCAGTTATTCCCTTTTTTAATTTCCGTCGCGTGTGTAGCGTTAATGGTTAAAGTTACATACAAATTATGGATGACAGAAATATTTTACATAAAATTATCTTCAAAATACCTATTGTATTACAGCATATTTTGTCTATCTATTATGGTTAACTTACAATTGCACGTGTAACTCCTAATACTTAGCTTAGGAGTTCGTAAGCCATCGCGCCGTCGCACGTGAACACTAAATCATGCTATTAGGATTATTTTTGTTCAACGGTTTTATTGTCACCCAGTGGACACCTCAGGATGGAAGCCGCAGGCGGGGTAGGTCCCGGAAAAGATGGCGTGACGATCTAGACGCCTATCGTCGAGACTGGTGGACACGGTGGAAAGATCGGGAGGTGTGGAAGCGAGATGGGGAGGCCTTTGCCCAGCAGTGGGACATTACAGGCTAGTAAAAAAAACGGTTTTATAAAATATTTATAATACTTACCAATAAGTTAAATTCGTACCATTGTATCTATGGACGGATGGATAGCGGAGACTTAGTAAACGGGTTTTTACCCATTGGAAAAGTAACCATAAAAATGAGACGATTAATAATATGTAAAATTCGATTTATTGCTATAGGCTGCTTTTTATCAACACAGCACGCGGGTGAAGCCGCAGGCGGAAGCTATAAGTGATAGAATAAGATTGCCAGGAACTTATTATGTTTTGTGGCGCGCACAAAATCAATAATGAATCGGTTTTTGAGTTGTTTCAATGTGTTGTTGTGAGTTTTCCTCCAAATTCTGTGTTTAATTTATTTCAATCCAATGCTATACAATGCGTAAGTAACTCAGTTTGTCTCTCCTACTGAACCGATTTGAATAAAATTTAGTAAATACAGATATATTTTGAAACTCGAGAGATGACATGATAGGATGATAGGATAGTTCTTATCCCAGGAATGCAAAATGAGAACTTCCCGAAAATCCTAGAAGATCGGGAACTATGTGGGCAAAACCAAAAATCTGCCAGAAGTCACTACTCCACACGGAGTCGCGGGCAAAAGCCAGTGACTAATAATTATCTAAATCATCATCAACATTCACCAATTATTTAACTTCAAAAAATCAAATCAGACTTTTCATAGGTTTTTCTTTATGTCATAGGACGGAAAAAGTGCAGACGGATTACCTGATAGTAAGCAATAAGCGCTGCGCCGCCCATGGATCCAACCCTCAATAACGAGTACTTAGGGGAAGGATGGGGACTCCGGTAACCTCACTCACACGGTGAAACACAACGCTGTGGTTGTTTCACGCAGGTCTTCTGTGAGGCCGTGGTATCACTCCGGTAGAGCCGACCCATTCGTGCTGAAGCAGGGCTGTCACGTATATATACGAAAAGTATTTCTTTTAGTCATTTTAATCGTTTTAAATAAGTATTATTGTCAGCTATAGATATATAAAATGTCGTGGTGGCCCGGAGGTTAAGGAGCCCGCTTCTCATGCATGAGGTTTTCATTTCACCATGTGAGTAACAATACAACTGCTTGGCCGTTTTGAGGGATAAACTTAGAAACTTGTTAATTCCTTTGACTTCGCGGGCATAGCCGCGGGTAATAGTGAATTAGTTAGTAGGTAAGTGACACGGTGTCAACGTGTGCTTGTCATCGTTAAAATGGGAGTGTCGTTAAAATTAAAATATGTAATGACATTTTTTTTCTTTTTAAATTAAGAAAGTTGGTTTTTCTTGATATGGAGTTTTTTTTTTACTTGCTATAAACTCGTGCTTGACTGCGATCCTACCTGATGGTAAGCAGTGATGCAATGGTTGATGGTAAGGCGCACTATACTCGGAATTTTAATTCCATTCCAGATTTGACAATTTCAGTGTTGCAACGTTATGACACGTTATAAATAGTGACGTTGCGAAATTATTCGATATGGAAATCGAATATTTCTGAATCGATTCCTCTCGTTTATAAATTTACTCTCGTAAACTAAGTTTATCAGGAAATAAAATATTTCTGAACTGATAATTTAGTTTTGACAATTAATTAACGATCTGAGACTTTTCTTTTGTAATTTTGTGTGAAATTAATAAAAAATGCGATCATGAAGGAACGTGACAAATAAAACAGACATTTTATAAATTGTCGCCGTCATCGCTATCGCTATCGCCGTTACTCTATGTAACATTTATTATGAATTGTGTCTGTGATATTTATTGTCAATTAACATATCTAGCTTACTAATTTTTTCCTCCTCTTTGAAAACATGGGATACACATTTAGACCATTCGGTAGCCGTAATTTTTTGAATGCCTTCCTGAAACTGATTTACTGATTGTTTATCGATTTTTGTGTTCATCACTACACTGTTATATGTGGTATCATTATTTCACAAAATGACAGTGGTCAATGTCAAATCAGGAATCGAATTAAAAGTCTGACTATAGTTTATGAGCCTATTCACTCTAGCCTTGAAGACACCTAAATTATACTTATTTGGACGGAGATAACCTTAATAAGGTGCCTAGCTTAGGAGACGAAAGTCTAGGGTGCGGGATTTTTACCTGAATACAAAAAAAAGTGGTGACCACCTCCACTGCTTGTAAAATAAACCGAAGGCTTAGTTGGAATAAATGATTTTGACTTTGAGGCGGAACGCGTGTTTGAATTATCCTCCTCACGCCCCAGTCGGCGCTGCAGACGACACTCCGGGCGTCGGGGATGGAGCCGTAAGCGCGGGTCTGCGGACGGCGAGTATGGGGACCAGAACCAGACCCGAGTGGGTATTTGGTCGTATTTATATATATTTATTTGTCGGGCATTTCCTATGTCAACAATAAATTAATTCTACGTTTCAATACAATAAAATTATTGAAAAATAACTACACTTTTATTCATCGATCGATCGATACACTAAGTTTTAGCTAATTATTAAGAAAAAAGTAAGTTATTTGACGCAAAAATACTGTGACGTCATAACTCTGTTTTTCATACAAATTTCATAGAAAAGTATACTTTTTGAAATTTGGATAAAAGTATTGGATTTGATTTTTTTTGGAGTTTATGGCCTGGATACAAGTCCTTTAAGCCATTTGGATTTGATTCTTAGAGATCATCACAGAGTTCATTACTTACAGGTCACTTAGAGTAAATATGGAGAAAATATTAAGAAAACCACGATTTAAAAAATGTCAACTTCATTTATTATTTTAAACTTACACCTAAATAAATATATTGAAACATTTCACAATAACAAAATAAATATGTCACAACATTTTCTATAATTAATTCAAATTAATTAACAGTTCTACAATATAAATTATTTGAGTCAATTCATTGGAATAAATACTGAATTTACAATAAAAAATAAGGGGGTCACTTTCAAAATATCTGATTAAGTTAATTGTTCATTTGACTTAGGTCAGCAAGCCGCAGACGGATTACCTGATGGTAAGCAACCAGCGCCGCCCATGTATACTCGCAACTCCAAAGTTGTTGCAACTGAATTCGGCAACCTTTTATGGATTAGGTATTCATAATTGTGTATGGTGAGAGGGTATTGAGCCTCCGGTAACCTCACTCACACGGCGAAACAACGCTGTGGTTTTTTTATTTGATTGGACGACAAATCAGCAGACGGATTACCTGATGGTAAGCAATCAGCGCCGCCCATAGACACCAACAACCGAGGAGTTACGAGTGCGTTGCCGACCTTTTGGGGATTAGGCCTCCATGGGGAGGAATTGGGCCTTCCGGTAACCTTATTCACACGGCGAAACACAACGCTGTCGTTGTTTCACGCCGGTTTTCTCTGATGTGTATATGAACATGGCGATCAAAAATCTATCCTTTTATTGTCATGGGAATTTGCTATTTTATCTTGTAATAAACTTATACAAGAATATCACGAAACTCTCTTTAAAAAATGGTGTAGGCAGAGCTTCAACTCAAGTCATTCAAAAATCGCTACCGTCAGTTGACCGATCACCATCACATAGACATTCCCTATACCGCCAACTGCTTAATTAGCCATCCGACTAAAAGTCTGAAAAGGCTAGCCGTTTGATTGATTGGCTGACAACTGAAGTTTTTAAAAAAAATGGTAGTTAAGGTTATATTTAGAACTGTAAGTGCACAAAAATGGAATCACCGTCACAAACAGCTATCAAAATTCTACTGCGATATTTTTTATTAACAGACTAGGCCGTTTATACAATGGCTAATTTAGCTGGCTGGGGCACAACTAGCTCATGACGACTATGAATCCAGTGAAAGTGGGCTAAGCAGAGGAATTATAACGAAGTTCCTGAGCTTGCTGTACTTTTGAGGTTCTCCAAAGTGTTTTCTGTAAAAATGAAAAAACAAATATTATTAGTATGAAACAGCCTACCATCCTACCAATATTATATCCTACTAACCTACAATCCTACTATAAAATTTAAGATGTGAAGGTTTGTTATTCTTTCACGGAAAAACGGATCGGAATTTGGTATGTATTTAGGTGCTACCTTGAATTATACACAAAGGCTTCTTTTTATTAACATACCACGCGAGCGAAGCCGAGGGCGGAAGCCAGTATCAAAATAATTGGGTAGTTCCTAGGTCAAAAAGAAATTAATTCGACGTTTTAATACGATAAAATATTGAAAAATAACTATACTTTTATTCATCGATCGATCGATATACTAAGTTTTACATATTTTTTAGCTAATTTTTTAAAAATAAGTAAGCTGTTTGACACAAAAATGCTATGACGTCATAATTCAATGTTTCATACAATTTTCATAGAAAAGTATCGTTTTTGACATTTGGATAAAAGTTTTGAATTTGACTAGTTTGAAACTACCGTATTAACAAAAAATAAATAAAAAAATGTTATTTAAAAAAATCACCGAATGAAAGTGTTAATAATTTATTTTTTATATTTTATGTAATACGGCGGCAAACGAGCAGACGGATTACCTGATGGTAAGCAATCAGCGTCACCCAGTGACACTCATAATACCAATGTAGTTACTACAAGTGCGTTGCCAGCTTCTTGTGGGGTTGTCAGGGCTTTAGGGATAGGGGATTCGAGGAAAAAGGATGGGGAGAGGATAAGGTCTGCCGGAAGCATGGCTCTCCCGCACTTAATTATTTTTGTAAAATCATATTTTTGACTTCCTTTGTGTGATACCTACGGATGCAACCGAGCCGGCGGATTAATTGATGGTAAGTAATCAACGCCACCAAAGGACACCCGGAATTCTAAATGAATTATCCTTTTGGGTAAAAGAGATTTTGGAAATTTTATGGATGGAAAGAGAGGAAAGATTGGGTCTCCGGTAACCTCACTCACGAGACGACACACAACGCTGTGGTTGTTTTACGCTGGTTTTCTGTAAGGCCGTGGTATCACTCCGTCCATTCGTGCCGAAGCATGGCTCTCCCACACTAAAAACTATACCTAACAACAATGCTAAGGCCTGGATTTCAATAGTCAGATCAGGTCAGAGTTATCGGAGGAATAAAATTGTTGCTGTCACTGTCTCACACAAACATTCTGACGCGACAGCACCATAATTATTCCATAGGTAACTTTTATCTAACCATTGAAAAATCACCCGTGTAAGTAACACGTTTAAAAATGGCAGACTTACTCAAATCTGTGGAATCCTGGCATTTCTTTATATGTTCTAAGATCACAGTCTTTAAGACATCCCTCTCCGCTCTGAGTTTTTCATTCATATCTCTAAGTCTTTCGTTCTCCTGTGATTGTTGCATCCACGTCTCTTTTAAACGTGCTCTGAAAAAAACATACCGTCAATTCGGATTACTTCAACCATTTTCTTGTGAGGGGAAAATCATCAAATGACTTCTCCCGCCCAGGGTAAGGCGAGTTTGAGGAGTGCGTGTTCACCAGACGGCAGCTTCGGTGGGTTCCTGTTTCGGATCCGGCGAGATGAAAGGCAGAGGAAAGAGTCTGACACTCTCTCTCGCCTAACCCTGGGCGGGAGAAGACATTTGACAATTATCCCCTGACCAAAAAAAAGGTGGGGCCAGAGGGAGTGTCAGATTCTTACTGACTAAAAACTCCTACGCTAGACCAAGACTGCGGTGCCTTATTGCTCTTACCCCGCAACCCCGGCTGAACATCAGCCCTATAGGGCCCCGTCTGTGGTGGTCTATAGCGCCGAACGATACGCGCCGTACGCTCGGGTCTGGTTCTGGTCGGGCGGCGAGCTACCCTTACTCGCCGTCTGCCGAACTTACTAGATAACTTTCATAATATCGACTAACGTCAATTTATCGAGGAAAGCTCTACTAGATTCAAGTCACAACGGGACTCTTATTCAGTCTATAAATTACTAGACGTTTTTATTGCAACTATAACAGACATATTGAAATTGTTCAAGACATCCTCCTAGTACGCTGAGTTTGGATAGTTTTAACTTCAGTAGAAGCATCCAACATCCAATATTTAATGACATTTTAATATTTACTAGCTATTCTCGCGCGGTCACCCGCTGCTCAGCTCCATTTAATTTTAGCGTGATGCTTTATAGCCTATAGCACTCAGGAGCATTGTAACTATCTACCAGTGAAAGAATTTTAGCAATCCGACCAGCGGTTCCAAAGATTACCCCCTACATACAAACTTACAAATTTTACCTCTTTATAATATTAGTATAGACGTATAGATAAGCTTTCTCAATTAACTCACGGGACTAAGTAGTTATTTCGGAATAAATTTCAATCTCTAGTTACTTACTATTGAAATAAAATATACCTATTCAAACTTAAAAGCTATATTTTATTATAACTTTCGTGAGACATTCTAAATTATTTATTATGTTTACGGCTTACTCACGTAATAATTTGACGAGATACTCGACTAGTTTCAAGTCATGCTAGATGCCCATATTCATGAGCAGCATTCCGCGACACCCGACTCGGCGACTGTCGCTATCGAGTATCTCGTCAAATTATTACGTGAGTAAGCCGAAAACATAATAAATAATTTAAAAGCTATAGTCTATACTGTCTTAATTCATCAAATCCCAAGCAAAGGCCCGTCCGCGCACCTATCGTTTTTCTATTAGATAGAGTTCTATAAAAAACAACTTACCTATATCTCCTAGAAGCAGCAGATCGACTATCGAGATCTTTGGAACAACTATTTTTCTTATTACAAACATTTTTCTCAGTTGAAACGGTCCCAGTGTCTTTTGGGCTATCATTTTTTTCAAACCTGACCTTTCTTTTGACTGGTTTCTTAATATCTATGTTGATTGGAGTTATCGGTACTTTCTGATTGATTTGTGGCACAAATGTTATTGGTATAAATGTGCCTGGAACTATTGGAACATTACTCACAGGTATCAAACTGACTGCATTCGTCTTCGGAGGCGTTTTCTTCTCGACCTTCTCAGTGATCGCTTTCTTCAAAATCTCTTTCGTTGACACCTCTTTCCTCTCCTTCTCAACTTCTTCTACGGCTCTCATTTTAACTTGTTTACCACCGGGCAATTTGATTATAACTTCATAATCTTCATTTTCATTTTTATTATTATTCTTTTTCTTTGCTGTATCATCGAAATCATTATTGAGACTGTCAACGATAAAATCTAGAGACTTCTGACTCATTATAGGCGGTACTTCTGGTACTTTTTCTGTGAAATCCTTGGATAGTATATTGCTATCGTGTATAACAGTGTCTTCGTAGATTAATGTTTGTACGGGATTCTTTTCAACACTATCCGTTCGGACCATGTTGCTAATTTTTATGACATTATTTGTTGTATAAGAGACTGAATCTTTTCTTATATCTTTGTTTCGTTCATCGACTTTCTCTTCTGCCTTACCCACAATTCTGCTTATAGTCGTCACTTCATTTGTCAATTTTGATATTGTTGTTCTTTCAAATTCTTTTACTGCGCCGGACTCGTCGCTTGATGAGCTGGAAGAGAGATTTATTAAAAGGATAGTACGCAGATTCAAGTTAAATTTGTAAATTAATTAATGATTTGGTTAATTTAATAAAATAGCGACACGCATCCGGCTTTGCACGGTTGCAATAGTATCTAATACTAAATTTTGCCACTATTTAATGGATGTTACTATACATATAAACCTTTCTCTTCAATCACTCTATCCGTGGCGTGGTTTTAGATTTAAGCGTACATAGGTATATAGTGGCAGAGAAAAAACAGCATTATATTTACGCGGGTATTAACGCGGAAAATTATAATTTGAATACCTTGGACCACGACCTGTGCAACCGGGTCGAAACGTCAAGCCTACCAAGGTATTCAAATTATAATTTTCCGCGTTAATACCCGCGTAAATATAATGTTGTTAAGATGAAACGCGAAAGTTTAAAAGTTGGCAGAGAAAAGAGTTTTATACTATTTAAGAATAGCATAAACAAAGAAAAAACTTGTTTAAAAACATAAACCAAGCCATTTTTTCAAAGTTCAGAAGAAAATGGCCTTCATCATCAGCCTTTAAGCTCCCACTGTTGGGCAAAGAACTTCTCGCATTGAAAAACTACTTTTGACTACTTTTTTTACTATTGACTTGATCAAGGCGGATTGGAGCTTTCAAACTTTTAAAACCTAATTAGAAAAAGTCCTTTATCGATTGTTGGTGGTGTCTTAATATATGTATTTAAAACTAGCTTCCGTCCGCGGCATCGCCCGCATGTTAAGTTGATAAAAAGTAGCCTATGTCCTATTCCACAGTAAATTCTATGCCTGTGCCAAATTTCATCCAGATTCGACCAGTCGGATTGGCGTGATTGATTAACAAACATCCAAACATCGTAACTTTCGTATTTATAATATTAGTAAGAAGTACATAGAACTTTGAACTAGTCGCCTTAAAAAAACAATGTATCAGCAACTACTTGGCCAATTAGTAATGACGAATCCTTACCGACTTATAGTTATATTTCTCTGGTTATTGGTGGTGCTGTAGAGGGCGGAGTCCCCATCAATTGTTGGAAACACCATCTGAGGAGTGTGCAGCTCGTCTGAGGAGGACGCTAGCGCATTCTCCAGGGAGAGGATGCCGTGCCTGAGGGAAAACAATACAATTATAATCTAGTAGCAAATTTTTTTTCGCTCTTCAATTTATTATTCTAAACAATTTTTAGACCCTGTCGACCTTATTAGAAAACATTATTTATATGTATTTCAAAACAATATAATTATCTTAAAAAATACCTATGGTAGGCTTACAGCTTATGTATATGTTACAATCTATACTTATATTATAAAGAAGTATATAGAAGTATGTAAGGGTTAATCTCTGGAACCGCTGGTCGGATTGCCAAAATTCTTTCACTGATAGATAGCTAAAATGTTCCTGAGTGCTATAGGCTATAAAACATCACGCTACGATTAAATGGAGCCAAGCAGCGGGTGAAACCACGCGAGAGTAGCTAAACTACTATAGGATATCTATATATGTATATGCGATAATTTTAGTTACCACCTAATGCATCGGTACTTATAGGGACTTAGGGCACGATAAATCGTGTCGTCTGATCTGTGCTAAAGAACTTACTTCGCCTCCATGGCCCTTTTGAAGCCCTCATCGAACGGGTTGACATTCTGCAGGTCCTGGAAGAGGCCCACCTCCTCACAATTCCTGATGAAACGCGTTGGTGTGGGCGTCTGGTCAGCTGGAAGAAATTGTTAGTTATATTGTAATGTGAATGTTTTTTTTTATGTAATAGATCGGCAAACGAGCAGACGGATTACCTGATGGTAAGTGATTACTTACCATCAGGTAATCGAGAGAGAGATCAAAGAGCCATGCTTCGGCACGAATGGGTCGGCTCGACCGGAGTGATACCACGGCCTCACAAAAAACCGGCGTGAAACAACTACAGCGTTGTGTTTCGCCGTGTGAGTGAGGTTACCGGAGGCCCAATCTTTCTCCTCCCCCGATCCCTCCCCAATCCCTTAATCTTCAAAACCCTAATCCCTAAGAGGTCGGTAACGCACTCGTAACTCCTCCGTTGCGGGTGTCCATGGGCGGCGCTGATTGCTAACCATCAGGTAATCCGTCTGCTCGTTGGCGGATCTATTACATAAAAAAAAAAAAATCATGTTTAATACTCGCGTAACTATAATTATGTTGTAAACTTTTATTAGGTAGATAAAAACAGGTATTGGGGTGTGACATAATTTTGGGAGGGATAGCAATCTCCTTGGTACTACTTATATCTAAGACTTTGCCGAATGTAACTCTGCTTATCCACTTAATAAAAGTTAGTAAATTGTCATATTATTGTGTCATCCACAAATATAGATTACGGGACAATATTCAGTTATATAACCTTATCTAATCATTTATTTTGATAATACAAAGTTTAAAATCAAATTCATGAATCATTAATAAAAGATATAAGTAAATTTAAAGTAATAATAACTAGCTTCCGTTTGTGGCTTCACCTGCAAAGTATGTTGATAGAAAGTAGCTTAGGTGTTAATCCGCTGCGGAGACATTTATAGATCGCAAAGAGAGCTGGACAATCAGTAAAAAGATGCAGGCAAAAGCTAGTTGTTTCATAAAAATGGAGCAGAATCGGAATGCCAAACTCAATCATGGCATGTTTTGCAGTAAATGGTTACCTTACCACTGGTCTAGCTATTCCATTGAAGAAGGAACTGTCTAGTAGTGCAAAATGGATAATGATGATGATGATGATGATGATTGTACCCAGTGGATATGTAAACTGAAACTGTTTTACTACTTGTTTAAAGGTCTAAATTGATATTATTCATTTATCTACACTAATATTATAAAGAGGTAAAATTTGTAAGTTTGTAAGTTTGTATGTAGGGGGTAAATTTTGGAACCGCTGGTTGGATTTCCTAAATTCTTTCACTGATTGATAGCTACAATGTTCTTTAGTGCTATACGCTATATAATATCACGCTACAATTAAACGGAGCCGATCAGCAGGTGAAACCGCACGAGAGAAGCTAGTTTAAAAAAAATCTATGAACTGTCTATGTATTCTGCTAATATTATAAATGTGAATGTTTGTGAGAAGAGGATGTAAATATAGTACTTAAGTTATCCTTAAATCAAAAATGGCTGAACGGATTTGGTAGCAATTTGTTATATAGACAAGTGATACCCTGGATTGGCACATAGGCTTTCTATCAACATATCAAGCGGACGAAGCCGCTGGTAGAAGCTAGTAATGTTATAATCGCACATTGGTTGCAGTGGCTAGCATTTTTCCCCCCATCTGTCTTCATATAATTAAATTATGTCTCACTTTGTTTTTTTGATTCCGGTATACTTAAGATTTATTTACTAATGTCAAAGAATATGGGTTACAAAAGAGGTTGCTAACAACAACTTACCCACGAAGGCTGCCTTCTGTTCCATTCCTAAGGATAACACCATGTCATGTTTTTTTGTATGAACATGTAAGTGATCCTCGTTTGTAAACGTCATGCCGCAGTCAGGCAACGTACACGCAAAAGGTTTCGCCGGTTCAACCATTTCTAACTATAATTTGTACTGATCAAAACAATTTATCATTCAATTTTTCCTTGTTTACATTCTTCAAGTTATCTTTTTAATCAAGTGTTTCATGTTTTGTAAAGTGAGCACGTAAAATACTTATGGTACTCGAAGGTCACTTGCAATTTTAAGATTATTTCATTTCCACAGATTGCGTGTATAAAATTAATTTTAAACAAAATTCGTAATTTTCCTTTGATCCGATTGTCTTCCGGGATCCGGAAAATAATGTTTGACATACGTGTTCCATCCACACAAAATTTTAACTTAGAGTATTTTAACCATGTTCTGTGTGCGAAAGAAAAAAGTATATAAAATTTGCAATAGTATAACAGAGATAGCATAATGTAGTGATGCTTACTTTGGTATTGAAGAAAAAATTTGACAAATGATGCATTTTAGAACTACGTTCCTTTGTATTTTTATTGCTATTTTAAATAATAACTTATTGATAAAGGGTTCTGTATAGGTATAGGTAATTAAAAAATTTTAATCATAATTTTTACCCAACATTTAATGTTTCAACAAAATACAGCGGTTAACAAATTACTTCATCATAATAACAAAAAAACAGAACAACTTAAACAAAATAAATTGAAATTGCATTTCTATACTTACTAAATAAGAGTGTTTTACGAATATTAATATAATTATGTTGTGCGATATTCGAAAATAACAAATTATACATAAACTTAAAAATTATGACAGTTGCAATTTAGGATTTGCTAAACTTTTAAGATTATTATTGGTGAAGTAAGAAGTATATTTTTCAGGAGAATATCCGTGTATTTTGACTTGGTGCAGTTGGTGAGAGCTGGATTCACGGCCATTTGTCTTATCGAACAGTGGGTAGACCGTAGATCTCTTCTTCCTTGGTGATTCTTGCATAGGCTGGTTGGGGTAAGGGTCTACATAGCGCCGTCCATTAATATCGTTGCCATCCGCTGTCGGGAATATTGTTGGCTAAATTAATAAAATATTGGCTTTTAACTACTCGCAATTTGTGCAGCTTATGGCTAATAGAAATGAAACTTAGGAAATATACAAGTATGCTTTATTTTAACAAATTGCGCAAAAAAATGTTAAAACATTTAATTTCATTTTAATTGATCAACAATTTAAATACTGATGACTTTAACTAAAAGGTAAGCATGGCTTAATAGTAAACATTGCATTGATAAAGAGTATAACTATTTTAAATATTCTACAGTAGTGTGCTACATAAGTATTAACCAAAATTGCATGTACCTATGTTAAAAAGTAGTAGTGCTTTTTTACCACTAAAACGAACCAGTACAATAATTTATAAAGTAAGAATCTACATTGGACGAATAGTTTCAAAGGAGGCTTCCTAATCAAGAGCTAATAACAACTTCTCCTTGCCTGCTCCTCTACTGTTGAAGATGCCTGGTGCGGGTTGACCCTGTGTCTCACCTCCGACAGTATTTTGCTGTATGCCGGTCATTCCAACCACTGCGGGATTGGGCTCGTTCTGTTGACCCTTCCATGGCCTGTATAATGGAGAAGTCACCGTTTATGATCATTGCTATATCACGTATATTGTTAAATTTTAATTGATTTAAAAAAATGAGTATAGTTGTTGAGGTGACATGACTTACTTGTCGGGGAAGAGTTCTCCAGGTTGTCCTCGAGTTTGGACAATCCTTTCACCGTTGACTTCAACGACGCACCTCAGGCGAGCACAGCATGTTGGAAACTCTGTACCGATGTGAAAATCCCAGATAAGTGACACAAGCATTCTTTAGTTGATTGAACAATTATCTAAGTAAACAATATCTTTTTGTTGATATTCTATTGTTTACCCAGTAAATAAATATTGAATACATACCAACATTCTCATCTTCAATGTATTCGTGACATTCTAATGCGTTTTCAGGTATTTTCGGCTTTCTACATCTGGGGAGTCAAATTAGTATTAAACAGACTGCCACTGACATGGGTTAAAGGAGCTAGTACCTACCGAACAAGGGAAAACACATACCTACGTGGTATATGACATTATGTATTGGCTTCAGTTTAGTTTTAAACGGAAATCGTACTATTTTTTGGTACTTAATAGAAACTTGAATACTATACTACTAATAAATAATTGTATTTGATAACCATTTTTCAAACTTTTCAGACAACAAGACGATTATTTGTATGAATAAATCGATTCGAAATGATTTGATATTGATTCGAATCAATTTGAATGTTTTGATCAACAATTGCAACAAATTTTATATCGCTCAAGAGAATTTTCGATAAGATCGGATATTGACCTTTTAATCGTGGCAATCCGAGACACAATATAAGAACAATAGATGCGCGAACGCTTCGGATTTGATGAATTAATTTTGGTAATTACAGGTATCGTAATAAGTATTTACCCAACAGCGGCTATGAAGTACTTTCCATCTCGAATCTCGCATCGATATCTATGACACGTGTAATGATCAGACCATTCTTGCCAAGGTTGGTAGCCTTTCCTCGAGTATTTATCTACGCAAGCTTGATCTGAAACATTCATCCACTTCTTAGATAGGTATTTTATGTTAAATAACTTTAAAAGATGCCATAAGTTCTAGCGCTTTTTACACGCGCCAAAAAAGAAAATTTAGACGTTACAAAATGTTAAATAAATCACTTCCTTACGTTAAATTGTTCGGTCATTAATGCAATGTAACTTCAAAGTTCATTGCTGTTACTTCGGCGGCCTTTGTGTAATGTTTAGATTACATACAATAGAACAATACTACGAAACACGGCTGTAAAGTTTACTAACAAACAACGACTTCGTTTATTTCCTCTTTCTTAAGTGGAAAAATAAAATTAAGTTTAGCTTTCAGTTAATAAAAACACATCGCCAAAATATCTAATTCAAATCTTATTCTTCAAGTCGATGGACCCATTAGTGGGTATTTTGACCGTCTAAATTGTTAATTTAAATTTATAAAAAAGGATGTCAAAAAGTACCTATATGTTTATGTCGAAACAAAAATAACATAGAAATGAAACGTTATTTAATTATAATAAGCTAAAGGAAAATGAAATTTAAGAAAAATTATTACAAATGTAGCAGAATGTAGAGAATAATAAATATAATTATAAATAACTTACAGCTCACGTCTTCTGCGAAAACGGCAGGAAAAATGAGGTATATTAAAAACACGTACGCTCCCAGCTGCATTTTCACAGTCTTACTTTGCCCTGTTAAAAATTCAATTTTAAGTCACCTTCTATGCTCAAACACTCAAAAGTTACTAATAAAAAATCATCCATCACTGCCTAGAAATACATTTCTCGTTGTTTAATATTTATAAAACAGTCATCCGACAGTCACCCAGATGACACCGTCTAGAAAGGAGAAACATGTAAAATATTATGTCAATTCTTCACAATTTCCGCGTAAAAATTCAACAAACATAATAAGGTGTGAGTGCGCGTTAATGTTTTGCATAATAATCTTCACGCCACAGATTTGACAACACGGAAACCAGACATCACAAAAATATTAGACGAATAACTTTTATGTGATCATCTTTTGTCTACCAAGAACCTAAGAAAAGTCCCGGGAATATATTATCCTTATGTTAAATACTGTCGTAACGATAATATAAGTGCTTTTTAAGTTATAAGATATATTTGGGGAATTATTTCGTCGCAATCAATTTTCATTTACATGAAATGTATTGAAATAAAATTGTAGTAGTGAACTATCATCAAAAATCAAACTAAAAGACTTACCCGTTTGAAAAGCGTTACTTAAAAACCTCTAATAAACAGCGGAACGGTCAATAAGCAAGTTTGCCCATAAATGAGGGAAAAACAGTTTGTTATGTATTTTGCGGCTGATTTCGCGATGTGTTTTCAGTTGCATAGGTTACGTTCTAAGAACTTAACCATTGTCTTTCCCATTCATTGTTGTGTTCTAAATCAAACCTTATTCATCAGGTCAGTATAATTTAATGTTTTTATTGAGTGTGCGTGTGATTTATAAGTTTATGTAACGTATTGCATTAAAATAAAAAGTACCTTCGCATTGTTATTTTTCAAAATATACAATAGTTACATAATATGTTACAAAAATCTACATCTTAGTGATTCGAATCATGCAAAATGCTATTGTTTATAGAACCTAGATAAAACATGTCATACTGATCCCTAAAAATCTTGTTTTAGTTAAGCTTGAACGCATCCTTAACATAAACAACGATAATGGCGTGAAAACGTAAAATGGAACGTTAGGTAGCTGTCAAAACGTGAACGTAAAAACACTCGTGCGATACAAAATATATTTTTTTTTATATCAAATACACTTTATACACACATAAAATACATCATTATAAAGCCCACGAAGTTACAAATGAGGTAAGTGCTAAATTTTATTCAATAAGCCTGATAAGTACTAATATTTTGTAATTAAAAAAGTGAAGTGCCAATCCTGATTAGTTATTCGATATTTTATTCAATTCTCCTTGAATTCGTGTGCATTTTGTGCTTATGTTTTAATTTCTTTTTTGCATATCACGCGTTTGCTTATTCGTAGAACGAATGAGGTAATTGTAAAACAGGTTTTCATATAGAATTTAGAAAAGTAGCTACTTGATTCTTGCTACCCACAATTTTTACTAATTATTTAATAAATCTTAAGGAAAAAGTGTTTATATGTCCATACCTTCTTGTTTTAATTTTTCCTTTATTGGTTTTTCACTGTAAATTAGTAAGGTGTAGTTGTGGGTAATAAAATGTATCTTATTAACATTAATATTTGAGTATGAAAGTTGGTAGATCATATATGTTTATACTATTTAGTTACAAACTAGAATTTTTACGCGTTTATGTTGTAACAGTAAGCCAGATAAAGGTGATATTTTCTGGCTTCTCATATAAAAACACAGAAACAGATTGGAGTTCAAAGTAATTCAAGTAAAATCTGTTAATAAATAAAACACACTGTTATTTAGCAACTATGGAGTTTTTTACTCATTCTTTTATACACTGCTTTTCTATAAGGAAATATATCTTTTGATAACTTAACAAATAAGTTAATGTAACTCACATAACATTCAAAAACTTAAGCTTAAGAAAAGGGTTTTAAAAAAAGAATAATATTGCCATAAAGTTGATTTCCCCCCACAGCATTAAACAGTAAGGGCCTTTGACACCACCTACATATAATTTCTCGATGAACTATCTTTGCTCTTCTCAACATAATATGTATAAAGCAGTCACTTTTTCTGGCTCTATATCCCTATTTATACTTTAATCTTGAATAATATGTAACAGATTTTGATGCCATTAATTAGTAGATAGATTGAAGAGGTATTGTTTATATGTGTAATAGCTACTCCCGCGCAGTTTCACTTGCTGCTCAGCTCCATTTCACTGTAGCATGATGTTTTATAGCCTATAGCACTGAGGAACATTGTAGCTATTTATCAGTGAAAGAATTTTAGCAATCCAACCAGCGGTTCCAAAGATTACCTCCTACATAATCTCTTTATAATATTAGTATAGATAACATCCAGTAAATATTATCCAGTAAATATTAAATAAGACAATAGAGACAAACTCTTGCAAATTAAACAGTAATAAGGTTATTAATCTGGTTCACCAAAACATTCAAGGCTTTATGAGTAAAGAATTGGAAATAGAGTTATTTTTAAATTGTAATAATGTGGATATTTTGTGTATTACTGAACATTGGCTAAAACCCCATCAGCTCATGTTCAATTTTGGTAAGCACCAGATTGGTAGCTCGTTCAGCAGAGAAAACGCTATACATGGTGGGTCACTTATACTGATAAGTAACCAGCTCAAATTCAAAGATCGTAAAGATATAGTTAGTTACTCTGTTGAGCGTACTGTTGAAATAGCCTGTGTGGAATTGGAGCGGTTTATTGTATTAAGCGTGTATAGACCACCTTCTGGTTTGTATGACTGTTTTGAAACAGTAATGGATGAAGTTCTAAGTAAACTTACAAATTCAAAGAAATCCATCATTACATGTGGTGATTTTAATATAAATTTATTAGAAAAATGTAGTTTAAGCACAAAAATTGTAAGTTTATTTTCTTCATACAACCTTGCGAATTTGTTTCTGGAGCCAACTAGGATAACACCCACTAGTGCCACTTGCCTGGACAATATTTATACTGACATTGTGCCAGTTAACAAAGAAATAATTTCAGTACTTGATTCCGATCACTGTGGTCAGTTAATTTCTTTAACAAAAGAAATAAATATAGTATCAAAACAATTTATCACAGTTAATCCGAAGACTAAAAGACGCATTGAATTTTTCAAAGCTAAACTCAGCAACAAATTGCCTTTGTTGTTGAATTATAAGAATTCTAGCACTTTATATGATAAGTTTTTTAAAATGTACCTAACAGAGTTTAAGACTACTTTTTCAGATAAAACTATACCAGCTAATAGCAATGCGTCTTTCGGTGATTGGGCAACCACTGGTATCTATAAGAGTAGAAAGCGCCTCTATGAGCTTTATAATGAGCGGACATATATTAACACTGTTGAATTCAGTGAATATGTAAAAAACTATTCTAAATTATTCAAAAAGGTTTGCTCTATTGCTAAATCATTATTCTTAAGCTCTAAGATAAAGAACAGTACCAATGTTATCAAAGACACTTGGAATATTATCAACAGTGAGGCAGGAAGGTCTAAAAAGAGAATAAATCAACATAGTCTTGTAATTGATAATAAGTTAATAAAAGCGGATGTAGAAATTGCAAC